TTTGTGACTATGTATATCTGTAAAACTGAAAAACTAGAATTCACTTAGAAAGATCTGAATAGAAAGGTAATACAGATCTTTGATGATATCACTGTAAAGGCTAGACCTAGGAAATAGATACCAATATAAAGAAACCAGACAGACAAGAACTTTAGATGAGAGTATCACCAACCAGGTTACCAGAACTGAATTAGAGAAAAAGAATATTGGGATGGCTTAATATATCAAGAACAGATCACAGTCCTATCTAGCTATCTGGATTGGAAGTCTGAAGTCAAAGCAAAAATATACTATAAGTACTAGGAATATGCTGTAAAGTAGGTACTAGGGTTTGGGTGAACTTTACAAGAACAAGCCTTGTTAATATTCTATAAAGTAGATAGGTAATTAACAAAAAGGTACTCTAGAACCTTACAGTCAGGTAACATATTCTGGAATGTGTAATGGCTTGACAGATATACAAAAAGAAATGGCTAGATGTTGGGTTAGATGGCACTTAGTTGTATAGAAACTGAGTGTTACTCGTCTGAGTGTAGTATAAGGATTAGAGTATTTAAATAAGTACTCTTCTAATAGGTTACAGGCATAACAGCTAGTGTAGAACCCTAGGGTGGACTACTTAAATAGGTAACCAAAAGTTATATATATGACTAGTTGCATACTTTTCTTGTACAAGTCATATATAATGCATTGACCAAAAACACAAATAAAGGTAATAGCTACTAATAACATTAGCCTTAAATAATAAAAAAAATAATAATAAAATAATAATAATAATTTATTTTATAACAATAATATTTATATCTTATTTATAATTCTTTTATTTAAAATTTTTATACTTATAATTTTTTTTAGTATCTTCAAACTTTTAATTCAGATTATTTAATAAAATTATAACTTATATATAACTGGTATATGTCTGATAGTTTAATATAGATATATGTCTATATGAACATGTGCCTAATATAAGTATTAATAAAAAGTCAAAAGATCAAAGAAGTTACCTTAATATTAAAAAAAAACAAAAAAAAAACAAAAAAAAAACAATTGATATTTTTTTTTAGTCTTATTTAGTATTTCTAAAAGATTTTTTTAAAAACTTTTTTTAAAGTTCTTTTTAAGATTTTTTTTTAAATTTAATCTTTATAATAATATTATTAAAATTTTATACTACTTTTTACTTAAGTCTTATAAACAGACTTTTATTCAGTTTTGTTTTTTAACTTTTTATATTCAATAGTTTTATTATAAGTTTATACTAACTTTAATATTAGTTTGTATTCTTTTGTATAATGTTATAAAAATGCTTTGAACTTCTAATTATGCTAGTATAATCAAAATTACAAGTATTTTAATCTAAACAGTATATTATAATACAAATAGTTTTTTTGAAACTTTAGATCTGTTACTTAAAAAATAACAACTTATTACTTCAAATTATTATATCCTATATTTGTTTTTATTTTTATGTTTTAAATATAATTTAATAAAAACAAAATAATTTAAACTTAATTAATTTTAATTTTTAGTTAAAATTATAAATTTTAGCTACATTATATTTGTATAAAATTTTGTTATATAAATAAAATATTTTTAAAGTTTAAAATTAGTATAAGCAAAAATTAAGTAATTTCAATTTACTAAGAGACTGTATTTCTTTTTTTCTATCTAATTAAAATTAGCCAATCAAATATCTAAAGACTAAAGACCTAATCAAATAAAAAACTTCTTTTCTTTTAAAATCAATTGATTTTTGCTTACTTCCTTAGAATACTAACTACATTAAATTAATATATAGTTTATTTATATGCAAAATTAGATTCCAAAAACTTTTACTTAACAACCCGAAACTAGTTCTTGTAATAAAAATTTGCAATATTAATAATTTTTTTGTTTTTTTATAAATTTCTTTATTTTGTTATACAAGATTCTGTGACCTGATTGATAATTTGTAGAACGATTAACATCACCAGGATAGCAAGTTAGTAATTTTTATTTTTATAGTTAGATTACAATTTTTTTAATTTTAAAATGTATAAAAGATTTTTAATTCAAATTCAATATTTAGTATCTTAATAAAAGAAAAAAACTAAAGTTAATATTGTAGATTTTAAATGAGCAGGGCGTTATTTCAAAAATTTTGTTTCCTAAAAATAGTGGAAATAACGCCCATGCACATCCCATAATGACGTTCATAATAGGTTATGATTATGATTTTAGTTTTTGTGACGATTGTAAAGAATCTTCACGGTTATCACATGTTATTATGTCAGTCAGTCAATCTTGAAGATCGACTAGTACACACGTTATTGCTGTATAACTTTTGCTTATTACGTCATTCGTGAAGATTATTCACGATTAGAAAAATCGATACTACTTCGAATAGCATCCATAGACGTACTCGAAATAACTAGCGATTTGAACCGAGAAAAATTTCTTAATCGGTTAACCGAACCGAAATATTTTATGGCAACCGGTTAAGATTACTTCATACTTTACCTTCGGAAAGTCTCGGACCTTTACTCAAATTTTGTCTCCAGCTTGCTCGTCTTTTATGTTCACTTGTTTTCTTTTCAGACCTTTTCAGAATCTTCGCTCATTCCTGATGTCTTTTACATTCTGTACGATTCTCAACCGGTTGTACGGGTCAACCGATTAAGAATTTACTCAACCGGTTACCCGAAATTTATTCGGTTTGGGTCGGTTAACCGATTATAGCCCAACCGATTCAAATCACTAGAAATAACATGCAGGTACCCATTATTCTGAGAATTTACGGTAAGCTTTAAATAATAAAGTTTTTAAAAATATATTTAATATTTTTCTTTGTTTAATACTAATGGAGGTGTCAGAAATAGTTTGTCCTAAAAAATAGTTTAAAGATATATTAAAATTAGGTATTGCTATATATTATTTTATTGTGGCAAAATTTTGTGAAATTTGCAGATCAAAAATTACTCCGATGAGAAAATTTCACATCCAGATATCAGAGTACTTTCAAGAAATCACATAATCGAAATTTTGCAAACCGCAATATATTTATATCATCGAAAATTTTTTATCTGAATAATTTAATTTTTAAAAAAGATACCAAAAGTGAAATCATAATAAAATTTAAAGATACCTTATATTTTTGAATCATGTATTCTGAGTTCATGATACATCAAGTTATATACAGTCAACTTCCGCAATAGACACACTCGCAGTAGTCACAAAATTTTAAAGCTATATGGTTATTATAAAATTAACTCTCGCTATAATCACACGATGCGACTATTACTATGTATCTCTCGCTATAATTATATCAGATTTCTTCCAGACGATATGACTATAGCGGGAATTGACTATACTATATTCATTGAAGGTTATGTGTTAAGCATCAAACAATAAAGCTTTGTGTATTTGAACTAGTGTTACTAATATTTAACACTTTCCAGGAAAGCATGCGAAACTTAACATACTGAATCCCGAAAAAATTCCATTTTGTCATACTTAATCTAATAATGATAAAATGATAAACCAATTCAAATTTATAATGATTATAACTCCACCTATTAGATAAAACTATAATGATGGTCATACCGGCCTAAGTATCTAAAAGAATAAGCAAAATCTGCCAAATATACAAAATAAAAATTAATACGCAGAAACAAATATCATTAATTTTTAGATGGTGCAGAAAATATTTAAGATAGGTCTCGCCGAGAATCGAACTCGGATCGCAGGATTCAAAGTCCTGAGTGATAACCATTACACCACGAAACCACTTATTATGCATCTACATTATTTTTAGTAATTCTAAGTTTATTTATATCTGATTGGTTCAACTAAATTGGGAAACAACGCATAATGCATGTATGATTTTAACTCCAGTCGTAACCTTAAATTACGTAGATTGAATGCTATCATTTTCTTATGAATATATTTGTTGGGTGAGGCTCCAAGTATTAATTATCAATTAAAGGATTAACGAAAACAAGATCATATATTTTTATTTATCACATTTTATTGTGAGATCGAAAATTTTTTATCATAAAAGACTGTCCGTGCTTTTTTATATATTCTGGATTACTAAGAAAGTACAACCCGTTTCTTATACCAGAGGCTGTGCGTCATCACGCAAGCCTCCATCAATATGCACACAGCCCAACAGGAGGAAACGTACCCGATCCAAAGTGAATCCCACACGCGGTGTGATCAATTAAAATTAAAATTATTTATTTTAGTTTTAATTGATCACACCGTGTGTGGGATTCACTTTGGATCGGGTACGTTTTATCCTGTTACACAGCCCCAGATCACACTTTTAATAATAATAACTAACGCTAAAAATTTTACAAAGATTTTATAATGTTTAGTGCGAAGTGTAGAATTCTTTATTTTAATTCCAAGAACGAATAGATTGACACGAGACAATTCATCTCTTAAAAAGAGTTGTTGACTGACATAATGTTATGTAATTAAAAACACATTTGCATGACTTACTACATTCATAATAATGAATGTTATATACAATAGGTAAGAATTGACTTTTTTTCCTCATCACAATTTGCCTAATCAAGAATGTCAACTTTTACAAACATGGAATGTTATTTTATGCTTTTTTGTCGGACTGTATTATGTCAACAGTAATATATAAATAAAAGAAATAAATAAATAGAAAAAATAAATAAAATAAATGGAATATAAATAATAATAAAGGAATAAAATGTAATTATAATGATAAATAAATAAAGTTTATCAAATTCACGAGAAAGATAATGAAAACAAATCTATATCTAAAATGTAAAATTAATATTACTCTTTTCCTAAAAAAAAAAAATTATGAGGACACACAAAAAAAAAATCTATTTATATATAAAGCATGCAAAAAAATAAAATACCAAATCTTCAAATTATAGAATACAAAAGTGTTTATATACAATTATAGAGAATTCGAGAAAACAATCCTTTCTTGTGTTTTTTTTATTATTATTCAACATATACATAAATAAAATTTTTTAATATGCTGATATTTCATTATCAATTGAATCTCTTGATACTGTTGAATCATTAGAATCAGATCTGCGATGATTGATGTACCGCGACGGCCCAGCTTCAATACAAGTATTTGAAGGATATTGATGCACATGAATGTTGATAGTAGTGTTTCCCGCCACAGGAGGAAATAAAAATGAACCACTACCATCATAACTATGTTCATAGACTAATCGATTTGAGTTGTTAAGTCGTGGTGGCTTCTTAGAAGGGTTAACTACCGTTTTTGTCTCGGATTCAAATGAATCAGTCAAATCACTACTTGTAACTACTGTTTCGGTAGATGTTGTTATTGAAAAATCCAAATCACGTTCTTCGGTAGGTGTAATTAGGACACGTGATATTCTCTTCATGAATTTACTTCTTCGCTTATCACTTGCATTGTTATATATATCATACATATATCTGCGTGTTTCGCCATTACGATAATCATGACCGTAACTTTGACCGGATAAGGTCCCAGAATTAGCAGTAGCCGAACTATATGCATGTCCACGATCTGATCCTGAATTTATTGAAAGACCATTTGGTATAACGGGAAGTTTTTGCTTGTCTAAAAATGTTCTGACGAACCATCTTAAAATTGGTCGATTTTGATTCATTTTAGTTCGAGTAATATTCGAGTCAAATTGAGATTTAAGTGGTGAGAGGGCAGATCCAAGTGGTGAGAAACCAGATCTGTGTGGTGAATAAGGTGGTATTAAGATACGCATACCAGGTGTACGGGGTGACTTTGGAGGAGACCCATATAAAAATGTTGGTGATGACGGAGGCATAAAGAATGGGCTTGTTGGAGTTGGTGGAAAAGATGGTGATGAAGGAGGACTGTTCAAAGAAGGAGTAAGTCCAGGTCTCTCATAACCGTAATTATCAATAAGATTTTTTTTAACTTTTCGTAGTGCATTATGAATAGCAGGATCGAAAAGAAAAGCAAGACAATTAAATAGACCTGTATGAATAAATATTTGATATAATTATTAATTGCTTATTATAAAGTATATATAGGGATATAATTAGGAAAAATGGATACCGGGAAGGCATGATCCGAAAACCGCCCAATAAATAATGGGTGTTGGTGGTAATCTAGCATCTTTATTAATAGATAACCAAGTATATTCAACGACAATCCCACTAACATTCAAAAGAGGAATTGCTGCATATAAAGAAATACGACTAACTAATTTCAACAAGAGTAACTTTTGTCGTTTGTTTTTTGCAGTTAAAGTTGTATTACTCTTTTGTGTATGAACTGCATCAGCCAGTTTTCGATGTTCAAAGATTAATTTCATTATAACAATTGCAAGAACTAATGTGCAATATATCATAGATAAAGACACTGGAATGATAAAAGTAGCCAATTTCCATAATTGTGTTTCATTACCAAAAGGATCGTGATAAAGGCATGTTCTTCCTTCTGAATCAAATCCAAATCGATTATAAACCAAAGGAGGAATATTTATAGCAAAAGAGATAAAGAAGGCCACAGGTATGTACCATCGATCAGAAAAAGACGAAACTTTCTTACGATGAAGAAATACAATCTAAAAATTTTTGTAATAGTAAATTGTATTTAAAAATAAATGATTTAAATTAAAAATTTGGTAATTAAAATAATTACCTGTAGATTAAATGCTATCATCACCGTCAAGAATAGATATAATGTCGGAAGGAAAGACATTGCCCACCCGATAAAAGTACATGCGTTATCTCCGGTGGTATGCAACGTATATGCTATTACAGCACCCCCCGACAAAACATCTACAAACGAAATGACTCCAGAAAGTCGGAGTGACACTCTATTTACTAACTTTCTGTCGTAAAGCCACATGATTAATATTATAAATAATACTATAAATCCACTGATAATACTCGTTATACTCAAATAAATATTTAAATGTTTAATTGTATTGGCTTGATTTAGTCTTCGAATGTCATCGTTATAACGGGGATTTGGAGGAAAACTTGAGTAAGGAATGTTTGGATCGGAATATGGGTCATATGGAGCTGTGTCTGATGATGCCATTTATGTAAAGACTTGTGATGGGGGAGACACCCCGTTAAGTTAGCTAACGATGGATGTGAATTTATTATATCTTTAAAGTCTCTATGGCAGTCTCGATGGTGGTCTCGATGGCGGTCTCGAGGGTGGTCTCGATGGTGGTCTCGATGGCGGTTGTTAGGATGCAATTCCTTTCAGGATTTGCTATCTGGATGTTAGCGGCGATTAATGAAATAGTTCGAGACAACAAAGGTGAAAAAAATACATGAGGCTAAATGTGAGATGTATTCTTTTATTGATTTGGACGTAATTTATAATAATATTATAATTTATTCAATTTTTAAAATATATATAAATTTCTACAGCTTTTCCTTAATTTGCTTTCTCTCCCAAATTGAAGGCGCGTCTATGCACATACCAGCAGCAATAATCACGTTTAACAGTGTAACCTTTATTTTTTTTTAAAAAAAAAAAAAAATTACAACATACAAGAAAATTTTCATTGTTAGACTTTCTTAGGATTGAATTTTTTCATGCATTTTGTCACGCGAAAAAGACCCTACAATCCAATAAATTATGAGCATTGTGAATATTAACTGATTTCATTATATAAAAATATCTTTAAAGCATATTGCCTTAGAGTATCATTAATAAAGACTTGCATTAATTACAGTAAAATATATGCATCGAATAATATGTTTGACGATCACAAAATTGATAATATTTAATCCTGTTCAACGCGAATCTCTTAGAAATATCATCAATTTGTCATGCTTTTTTTCATCAGCAGTATGGCAAGTACGAAAACGGAAAGGTTTCTCTAGAATTTATTAGAGGTAAATAAAGTCTCATTTAATGGATGGCCAATTATGATGCCATTTGAGATTGTCAAATTAGGCAAACAATGAAATTATAATGGTATATTAAAGGTTCCCGTTTTGATTGTTGAGGTTTTTTTTATTGTCAATGTTAATTTCTTTGTCTTTCCGATTTGGGAATCTAAGCAGAAATGGATTTGCCTTATATCCACAAAATTTTGCATTTTATAGAGTTTAATACAAAGGTTAATGTTGCATTACTTTGAAATTTATATTAATGTGGTTTCTTACTAAATTTTCGTTTCATGTATGCCCTTGTATTTGTCATATTTACTTTTATAGATTTTGGAATCGATACCATATATTTACTTAAATTCTTGGCCCGATCAACCCAATTGGTGCAGTTACGATTTAAAGAATAAAGGTCTTTGATCCTGTTGCCACATTATGGCTATAATACTTTAAATGTATCTGATCTACTTTGCATAATTGAAATATAAAAAACGGTTAAAGAAATTATTATTTCTAAAATTAGTAATGAACGCTACCAAAGAACGACTTCGGTCGAAAATGACAAATAGTCACATTACTTTGTGATTCCACTAGAGTTGGATATCCGTTTTACTATTGATTATCCGAACATTTGTAAATGGATATCCGGATAAATTCAGATACGGATAAATGGATGACGGATTTATCCGGATTGAAACTCTAGACTACACATTATTTTTAGGATAGTCGAACAATACATAACGATAAATGACGATTTGGTAACCTATGCCCATCTCAGTACATCGGAAATACGGACACAAAATATTAAATAGAATACAATCACCAGTGAAGGTTCAGGTGATGATCATTTGTCATATATAATAGACGAATTTAATTTGCAAAAACGTACATCGTGTTATGAAAAATAAAGCGTGCGTACATTTTCTATGCGGATCATGTAGGGTTATGTTAATTACGATTTGGCGTTAGTGTTAGATTTCATATAATTTAATTCATGATTTTTTAATTACTGCATTATCATCGCTATAAAATGCAGGTGAATACACTAAAGTAAACCTTACAATATGCTATATTTTTTATTTTAATCTGTTAATTTCATGTTATTTTACTTTTATTCTACAAAAAGCATTTAAATATACATGGCATTAAAATATATATCGATATTTATAAAAGCTTATTTGGTTGTTTGAAAAACCAAAAAGAAAAAAGAGAACTGTTAATGTCACTCCCATATAACCCTAACCGGCTCAAAAACTCTACAAACAGTACTTAGAAACAGTACAAATTTTAGTTAGCAGTTAGGATAAATATTGTTTATAGTTTCCAGAAGGATTAAAGGTCAATTGGACTTGTATAGAAGGATGGCATTAAATGGCCTCAAAGGAAAAAAAATTATCAATAACTATATAACTTTTTGATTCAAAAGTAAGAATTAGAACAGTTTTACCGCTTAAAAATTGCGGATCTTCTTTAGTATAAGTGAGCATATATAAATTATTACAAGATTATAATACTGTATATAATACCTTTTTAATTGAGCCAATTTATATTTTAACCCTAATTCAGACCCTAATTATTTATAAATTTACTTCTATTGATTCCAATAGTTAATTTATATATTGAAATTTACACAAGCTTTTCATGCCAAGATGTCAAAATCTGGCATCAAATAAGAAAAAAATCACAACCAGTGCACAAAATTTCGGCGTGTCGTAACCTGCTTATTTTTTCGGTAAACAAAATTTAGAAACTCCTGCAATATATTTTATATTATAAAATTTCCGGCCGCTTTAAAACTACGCCGGAAGTCAACTTAATCAAACGGAACCTCCGGTATTTTACAATAGAATTTTGTGCATTGATCACAACCGATCAAAAACTATGATCTTTTTTTTATTTTATTAATATTACATCTCGTTATCAATTAAATATTTAGGTAATATTTTAACAGTAAAAAAGCAGTACTAAAGCAGAAGACTTCATAGGCAGAAGTTCGTCTGATTGGCCAATAAATTCAATTTAATTTTACATTATTTATACAATTTAGAATACTTTTTAAAAAAACGAAAATCAACCATAATAAAGTAAAAAAAAACCATATAGAAAGTTTCATTAGAGCTGTAGGACTCCATAGTCAGAAATAGGATCTAATTCTCATTCGTTTAAAAAAATTATCTTACTAAAAAGTTGATTTTATCGGTTTTTGAGAAGTAATTACTCTTTTAGATCTTTTGGCTATGGAGTCCTACAGCTCTAATGAAACCTTTTATACAGCTTTTTTTATTTCATTATGATTAGTTTTCGTTTTTTTAAAAAGTACTCTAAACTGTGAATTTATTAGTCAGACAAACTTCTGCCTATGACAGAAGACTAGTTATCAACAAATGACGTGAAAGTAAACCAAGATATGTAATGAAATAACAAGGGATCCATTTATTTCGGTCACATGTATAATACAGTTAAAAGGATCTACGTATATTATACTTTTATACTGATACGTAGTTAGAATTATTACGTAGCAGGGTTACCTAATTATTCTAGAATGTGATTGGTTGGCAATGTCACGTGCCAGAATCTGACTCCCAGAATGCAAAATTCAGAAATTAGCCGTTGAATACATTTTTCATAAGCATGAACGTTTTAAAACAAAGACATCAAGTCACAGACTCGCAAGGAAGAGAACAGGTCGAATTTTTAGACGAACATGGTATTATCCACGTACTCCTATTATCTGTCGACTTACTTTCAGCTTATTTTTAATCAATACATTTTCTAATGCTAAAAGAACAGGAAAATTTAATTGAAGAATTTCGTATGCAAAATGACGGAGCCAATAATTTTTTCAAGGTTTTTTTTTTACATAGCCTATTATTTATTGTAAAATCTTAGACGTTAGTTTTTGCTTAGGTAAGATTTTCGAATTGAAACAATAATTTAGAAAGTATTGGTGTTCTTTTCATTGTCGATAATGATACTGTAAGCAAACTATTACAATCTGTAAGTTGTATATATTTAATTCTTTCTTACTCAAACTTTCATTCCTTTAAACTAGATATTTAATTTTCTTTTACGGATTGATGAAAGATTCGATCTCTCCGTTAATACCCCTACCGATTTCTGAAAAGATTTATTCACATACACCATATCCAATGATATCAACGATACTATCAATTAGCTCCCTCCTGTTTTCGATATACATTTTACAATCCCAGATTGTTACAATCATTCATCTTTATTGTGGAATCTTCCTATCACTTGTTTCTGTGATCATGGCAATTGGTACAGAGCAAATGGAACAATTGTGGTGGGGAATACCGTTTGGATTACTTATCATAGATATAATTGCCTTGTATATTATCAAGGATTCAGAACAAGATATAAATGGTTTAGAAAAATTAAAATATAAGTATAAAGGTGCATAGAGTACTTTGGTGGTATTACAGTATCTATTTTGCCTTACATTGACCCAAATTTCACCCATGAGTTGAATGTTGTAGATATTTTGTATATTTTATTATTAGTATTTTAAATTGCAAAAGAAAATTTATTTAACATTCAGATTAGTCAAAATCGTATTTTTGTTTGTTTTCCCAGTACGCCTGACCATAATTAACGAATATTTGCTCGTGAGGCTAAAAGTAATATATACCAAGAATTTTAGTAACGTAGCCATAAATAAACGAATCAAAATTAATATTTACCTCAATATCTGTTTGAGCTATGTAGAGAATATACCAAATGTCATTGTAAATCACATAAAGTTGGTCACCATTATGATTTGCTAGTCAAAATTAAGAAATTGAAGTTCAACAATTGTTTAAATCATAATTTAAAATAAATGTACCAATTAAGGAATCATACTTACAGTCACGATGATTAGCGAATCGCATATAATTTCCCATATTTTTACCATCAACACAAACCCTCACTTTTTCGTTATTCTCATCAAAAACATCCATAAGATAATTGAATTCCCATGCTATATATTTAGGAAATCATATAAGTAATAAAATAATGCCTTTATAGTGTTAGAACTTTTAACATACCATACTCAACATCATAAAGTTGGCGCGTATATATTCCTAACAGTTAAAATTTATGAAACTTAGTAATTGTCTTTTAATAAATCTTATCTTTTTTTTTGATTAATATTAATATAAACGCATACAAACCAGTGTAGACCCCTAGAAGATCACCTGCTTTGAAAGAGCGACCAGCAAACATGCCCCATCTTACGATGTCATTAACCCAACGAATGTATACACGTCCATCATCAACATATGTTCCATTCTCAACCCTAGAGTCTATTTCTCCTACCATGGGTGCATACTTTTCCGTCGTTGACATAATTGATGAAATTACTTCTTGATCATGTTCGGTACTATTTAATAATCTGGATTTAAGATTATGCTTTGCAAGATAATCAGCTATATCCGGATCAATGGTCTAGCCGCATTAAAGATTACAATTTTTTGTCATTCATTACATTCAAGTGTATAAACGATCAAGTATATAAGGTTACATGCATACCGGAAAATATAACGGTTTTACTTGAAATTCCTTTTCAAATTCATCCATATATATATGACGGTAAACGAAAGCGCCATTATCTAACGAAAGATAACTTTTTGCGTTTTTATGATCGGGAATAGAGATCCACAAGATTTTGTCTTCACAGCCATTAGATAATATCTGACAAGTAACTTGTTGCCTATACTTGTCCCACGCAACCCCTATAGATATAAGTAGTATGAATAACGATATAGCCACAATAGGACTAATATTGAGTGTAATTTCTCGAGATTCGAAAAGCTTGTTGGTTAAATTTTTTGTCTCTTTCATTTTTTCCCTTTGACCGTCGTTAGTGCTTGAATTTTGTTTTCCCATATTGTTCTAAGGTATGTGGCAAATATATCTGGCTATAAACAAGTTGTCCTTTATTTTATATTTGGTTTCGCGATTGGTTTGTTTCTTTCCCTAATTGGTCATGCTGATCCGAATTTGAATGACTGCATTAACCAATTTTTAAGACCAAATTAAAATTGATTTAAGTTAGTATATTTGCTAAACGATGATTTGTAGGATGCATAATCAATCTCTCTAATGCATTTATAGTATTAGCCATAAACCTAACTACGTAACATTATGTTTCGAATTTTCAAACTAGTTTCGGAAACATTAATTTCGGGTCAATACGTATATTTTCTGAAACTACTTTATGGAATATATAACAAAATCAGATACGTATACAGATTATATGGCCTAAAAAGAATAATTACTATTACCATTACGTACTATTACGATTATACGACACAAGAAATTTACTCTGATAGTGTTGTACATACACACATCACAGATTCGTTATTACTTTATTAATGTTTTAAGTGAAAAGGGTGAACGGTTAAGGGTTAACTTTCTTTCCTTTAATACTATCAATACATGTGTATACATACATTTAATCGGTTTTTAAGTTGTAATATATACTTCATATATAGTATACTGTAAATATCGGTATTATTTATATAGATGATCAAGACAAAGGTTCTTAAATAAAATAGATAATGTTACGGCCAAATTTAATTCTAGGTAGGGGTGATTCTACAATAACCGTTAATCGAATTATATTCTGTTATAAAAAAGTTTTACAAAAAGGTGTGACCTTTGCTAGACAATTTAGAATCTCCACTATCATTATCACAAATCGCGGGGTCACACCTTTTTTGCAAAGCACTATAATCGTTCCCAGAAACGATTACATGGGCTAGGTGCTGGAAAAAGGGACGAAATTGACAAAAAAAATGATCTTGAGAATCAATTTATATGTTATAAATCTTATAATAAATAATAAGAAAATGCAAACTTTAAAGAGCTATACTGCAAAATTTTATTAATACATTTCACATAGATGCTCCAAGCTCTTATTCAAGATGATATGACTGAAGGTTACAGATACATCTAATCCAACTGATCAACAGAATCAGTTATCATAACACAAATATAATTTTCAAAATTTGGCATCCATTGGATTTAAACCTGCCACTTGGAGGTTGACAACCTGATCACTTCACTAAATCATCATATTTCTGCTTTATAAATATTAAATAGATATAAATTTACAATAATATAATATTTCAGTCATATTTTTTTTATATTAAACTTTAATTATTATTTTACAAAGCAAAACTTATAACAATATTATCTGCTATTAGTATATGCCCAAACAATAGCAACATATAAATTTATACAGATTTCTAATCAATTATCACAAAATACAACAAAATTATCAGTAATCTAATTTTAGTATATAAACAATATTCTTATTTATACTGATCTATCTGGCATTTATTACTTAATTTAATTTAATTTTACTAATATATAGTTATTTTTTACAAAATATCTGCATATAGCAATAATATATTTAACAATAAAGCTAACAAATTAGTAACCAATTACAACTTTATTGTATACTATAACCTAATACATAACAACTTATACAATACTTTATATATCTTATAATATAAGAAATATACAATTGAATAACTTATTAAATAAGTTATTAAAAATATTATAATATATATATTTTATTATTATTATAAATTAATAAAATGCAATTATACACGTAACATGTAAATCAAGACGGAGTAAACAGTAAACACAACAAAACAAATAAACAGACATGCAATCATGTAGATAAACAAACAAATATAGATACATATAGTAAGACACGTATTAAATTTATACAGATAAGATATAGATATAATGCATAGAAGTGTAATACAAAAAGTTCAAGCAGTATCTACAGAAATCGACTGGTACAAGAAATTAGAAAAGTATCGTAATATGTTTAACAAATCTGACAGAGTACAGAAAGAATTATTAGATAGTCATAAATCTAGAGTATTAAGAAAAGATGAAGAATTGGCCAAACTAGTTGGCACTGAAGCAGTC